CACCTGTGTATAATACGCTGACTACGCAAATAGCCTAAAGCTGATGCCATTTCACAGATATAGAGTTTAACTGTTTCTTCTGTAAACTGCACATTTTGTTGAAGATGATAACGTAAGTCACCACCCAAGAGTAGATCCACCACCATGAACATGTCTTCTTCATCTTGGAAGGAGTACCTGTAGAACAATGAGTGAACAGGAAATTCCATTATATTTTCACAGGCAATATTACTATGCTGTAGGCTAGATCTCCATGCCACTTATCCCATGTGCTTGAATAATAACAACAATAACAATAACAATAATAATAATTATTATTATTATTATATATCTAAATATATATGTTTCAGCTTTTTTCATTTGTCCCAGTTCTTTTGAACCACTGATATTTATATACTTTGGGGGGTGGGGGTCATTTTGTTTTAATGCTTATTACCATTAGCTGTCCTCTGTTCCCTATCTAGCAGGGAGCAGCTGTCATAGTTAATTTTAACTTGTTCATATAATCCTGCTTCTATATCTGGCTGGATCACATGACTTCTATAATATGATCATTACACAGTAATTTTTTCCAGGCATAATCAATAATGTACTGGAATATCAAGCAGCCTGTCTCATTTCATTATCAAAGGAAACCCAGTGCTATCAGAGTGAATGACTCATTGGCAAGATTTTGTTAGCTTAAGCTGCCTGGAATCTTTTTAATACAGAAATTCTGGACATCATCAGCTGGACATTTTTGTTCTGTCTGCTAACGTTGAATGAAAAAATGGTTAAAAGGGTGATCAAATAGGACAGAGAATTCTCTTCTTGTAAGGATAGCTAGATGATACAATTTGCTTATGAGTTAGAAACATCAACTTCTCTTTATCACCTCCAATAAATGGAGTGCATATTTTACCTGGCACAAATCCTTGTAAAAGACACATAACCTAGTTATTCCTTTACATTTATTCATTTGTAATAGGGTTCAGAAATGCAGCCATGATCCTTCTAGCTGGTGCCCACAGAACCCCCCAAATTACATGTAGAAAGACTGAAAACTCCCCAAAACACCAAATCTTATCCGAATTCAATGTTGCCTCGTGAGCACTCATAAGAATTCAGATGAGAGTGCAAGATCTCAGGGATGAAAATGCTGAAAATGTACCAAAAATGTTTATAAGGTTTGGTGCATTTTTATTTTTTATTGTTAAATGCCATTATATCAGATCACTCAATAGTGCCTATTTCTTGAAAAAAAATGCCAATGCCTGAATTACCCATACAGAAAGCTACAGAAAGAATGGGTATTTACATTGCAAAGTGTTATACACACACACACACACAAACCAAGACAAGGCAATAAAAAGGATAAAGAGGCTTCAGCAATTTCCCTGAGAGAACATTGCTATTCAGGGCTTCTTCAGCTTAGAGTAAAGAGGGGACCCAAAGACATATATAATTGGTATACAGAACTATGCATGCTGTGGATAATGTGGTTACAGAGAAATTGTTCTTCCTCATAATACCAAAACCTTGGCAGGGGAAAAAAAGGAAGTCTTCACATATCAGAGTTAACTTGCAGAGTTTATTAACATAAAGAGGCTTCAGCAATTTCCCTGAGAGAACATTGCTATTCAGGGCTTCTTCAGCTTAGAGTAAAGAGGGGACCCAAAGACATATATAATTGGTGTACAGAACTATGCATGCTGTGGATAATGTGGTTACAGAGAAATTGTTCTTCCTCATAATACCAAAACCTTGGCAGGGGAAAAAAAGGAAGTCTTCACATATCAGAGTTAACTTGCAGAGTTTATTAACACACAAAGTGATAGTCTCCAATTTGAACCGCTTTGAAAGGAAGTCACACAACTGCATAAGAGAGAAAGCTATAGGTGTGTCTTATTTCCAAGGCTGGAGCTGTGCACATTTCAACAGCAAATTGCTGGAGAAAATGAAACAGAAGAAACTACTGGGCCCATGCTCCTGGCTGGACATTTAGAAACAGAATGTTAAATTAAGCCATTGATCCAGCATACTTTTTCTTACATTCTTAAAACCACAGAGTCTTATATATTTATTGTTATGCTAAACCTTCTCCTGTGCAATCAAAGCAGGAGACATCTCCCCATCGCACTCCTTTACTGTAACATTGTGCTTAGGGTAACCGGGGACATCCAGGTTCAAGTTTATCCCCAACCATGAAAGCTCACTAGGTGACTTTGGGCCAATCACCCCACAATTTTATTATGGGGGGAGAGGAATGGAGGAAAGAGTGCTATGTTTGCTGTCTTGAATATATTGCTATCTGTGCCAATTCTCATTCCATTGTCATTCTTAAGATTAACAGTTTTCATACCAACAACTAGTTCGTGTGAGGAACAGGGTTACAGAAATAAACTCCTGAAGTGATCTTACTGAATTTCCAACTGAGTTTCTTGTATAACAGGATGCATGTATTTTTTCATTAGAGATGTGACTTTTTATCCTAATGGGCTGAGAGGTCTACTCCCCAAATTATAGCCTCGCTGATGTTCACTTCAGGAGTTTATTTCTGTAACCCTGTTCCTCCCATGAGCTAGTTGTTGATATGAAAATCGTTAAGAATGACAGTGGAAAGAGAATTGCTACAGATAACAATATAATTCAATATAATTCATTCTTCTTTTAAAGAATAGTAACAACTTTAGATGAAAAAGTAAATAAGTCAAACCAAGACAAATTCTCCTAAAATTATGGTAGCCAATTTTCCTCTGCAATCCTTCCTTGAATTATAAAGACACAGATCCTCTCAGAATCTCATTGTCTGATCCCATCAAATGAAATAATCCAGATCAATGTGATCTCCACAGTTAATCAAGATAGTATGTTTGTCTTTTCCAATAACCAATGTTTAGTCTTTACTAAATTTCATCACATTCCTCATTTTTCCCATTTATCCTATTCCCATTTCTTTACTTTATACTTCTCTGATTGGTTTCTTTTTCTTCAACAGCCTTCTCCAAACTGGTACCTTCCAAATGTCTTAAATTTCAGCTCTGATAATTCCTGAACAAACATGGGCAGCTGGGCAACCAGCCAGTCAAACTAATCTGATAATTACCCAATTCTATAATTGTAGGCACATTTTAAAGACCTATGCTTTATTACAGGAACTGTTATTGTAAACTAGCTGCTGTATAACTGGACTCTCCATTTCTATAGATATTCTTCTGAATCTATAGTCTACTAAGACTCTGGGTTTCTATAATGCTAAGTTTTGTTTGCTATGGACTGTGGACTCTGCCATTTTCTTTTATGTATTATGGACTTTTGAACATCATACCCTATGCACTGCTGCACCCAAGACTTTCTTCTGATAAGACTAACGTGCTTTCAACTAGATGCATAGACTTAGAAAATCAGTGGAATTGAGACACTGTGTTAAAACATGAGAAAAAAAGAGATTCACCAGAGATTCACCAAGAAGACATGCTCAATTTCCTGCAGAATCTCTAGTTCTCTGAACACGTTCCGAACCTCATCTCTTTCAATGCACTGTTGTTTATTCATGTACTTCATGGCATACATCTTCTCTGTATCTCTCTTTTGTACAATGCACACCTAGATATAACAGAAGAAAAAAAGTTGAATTAGATTTGTACTTCCTTGTTTATCTATTGTAGTCATCCACAACAGTGAGATATTTTGATGAGCTCCCAGGAAATCATTTAGCAAGCCACGTTCTGCACAAGTTAATTCAGAAACTTGCAAGACCAAGTAGCACATAATTCAGGAAATGTGAAAATAAATGAACCAAGTTATGAAGGAAAAGGCAAGTCTACTTTTGGAGAAAAAAATGCTATTCTTTTTTCTTTAAAAGTGCCAGCATCTGGTAATGTTGTTTTATCAAAATAGCTGAAGACAGTGTAGTCTATCAGATGTATTGATCTTCCTCCCTTATAATAACTAATATGAAACTTGACATTAGATGCCATCATGCAGGGGAAGGCTAACACAGGGACTCTTATAAGAGTACATAGAGGGTTGCTTGATTCTGCAACTGCATCTTCAGCCTGTGATAAGAAGGTAGGCATAATAACAGTTTGTCAGAGAACAGCCTTTCCCAGACTCTATACACTTCAGATATATGTCCTTCACCTCCCAAAATTTCCTAGCCAGCATAACAATTGCTGAAAATTCTGGGACGAAAACCACAAACTTGGAGAAAGCCAAGGCTGGTATTAGATACAACAATTAGCATTGGCATGGCCAATAATAAGGGATGATGAGCAGTTGTAATTCAGCAACTTCTGAAGATCCACAGGTTCCACACCCATTTCATTATCTTGGGCATTTTGGTAATACACCTGTTCTTTTATATGTAAATTAATATAAGAAAATAGACAAAACATATGCTACATCTATGGATTTATTATGTGACTTGAGAGGTAATTCCAGATAAAATCCACAAGCTTGCATTACTGATTTGTAAATATGGCTAGTTGCTTTTTTGTGCCTGTCAACACTACAGGTAGTCCTTGGTTAACTACGGCAATTGGGATTGGAATTTCCATCAGTAAGCAACACAGTTGTAAAGCACCATGTCATGTGTCTGTGCTGCTTAGCAACTGAAATCCCAGCAGTCCTGGTTTCTGTTGTTAAGTGAATCACCATGGGTCGTTAAGTGAGGATTTCACGTGGTTGCAATCTGCAACTTCCTGGCGGCTTCCCCACTGACTTTGCTTGTAGGAAGCCAGCAGTGAAGGTCACAAATGGTGATCATGTCATAATTGCAAGCCTGGTGCTGAGTGCCCAGATCGTGATCATGTGACTGTGTGGATGCTGCGATGGCCAGAACTTCAAGGACTGATCTTAAGTACCACTTGTTCAG